AATACCTGAGGCATTGTGCCGCTACGTGGCGCGCCTTGTGGGCTACAGTAATTTAGTGGAAAAGCAGAGGTTACAACCTTTTTGCAGCTTTTTTCCACAATTTCAAGAAATAGTTTTGCTGTCGCCCTCATCTCAGCGGTGGTCACCTCTACATTATCAATAATGAGCCCGACCTAAACAATGCCCCCCTGTACATAGTCATGTGATAGTCAGAATGAAGGCTGTACTTCTACTCAAAAGTACCTCAAATACAATTTCCCACACTCAGACACGTGCCGTAGAAACGCGCGCGCAAATGGTCTCCCTCTGGGTGGAGAGACACACCCCTGATTGCTGTTCTCTGATGGGCCACTTGGCAAAAAACGTCCAACACGCCAACTCCGAGTTGGCGAAATTAGAACATAATCTTCCAACTAGTTGCTATCGATCGGTTGGACGCGCAACTTTTGCATTTACACTGCCGATTGTCAGTTGCGAAGTTGGTACAATTCGCCAACATAAAGTTGGCAGTGTAAACCATAGAAATCTAACTAATCTATTATAGGATAGGATGTCTATGGTATAAACCCAGCTTTACTTCCATACATGACAACACACGGAATTTATTACACACGAGTTCGTGCTATTTTCAGGGCCGTAGGCTGAGCAAATTCGTAGGGGGGGGGGGCAGTGGCAGATCCAGGATTGAGGAGGAGAGAGGAGGAACAGGTGGGGGTCTGGGGATCCTCCCACAGTAAATTTTGAAAATGTAGATCGCAGGAGATGGTATTTGAGGCACTTTTGAGTACATGTACAGCTTTCATTATGACTACGACAATTCTCTTTTAGTAGAACAATTTTTATTTTTATTTTGCTCCAAAATCTAGGGAGCAACCCCCGGACCCCCCCCCCTGTACACGCCCCTGCTTACTTACAAACTATCAAACGGAATCGTTCTGTGTAAGTGTGGTAGAGCTCGTTTTCTTCATGACACGCATGCTTGGAGTTTGGCGACCTTTTTTTCCGGGCGATGGCGCTGTTATAGTTCAAATATGGCGTGGAAGAGAAAACGTGCACCATTTCATAACAACGTTAAAAAGAAGCGAACAGTAGACAAACTAGAGGAAATAAACAAATTAGCGCAAGAGAGAATAAGTAAACAGAAACAAAAAAGGTAGACGATGTAATAGATTTTGATTTTCTATGTCAAATTTCGGAGCATCACCGTGGCCAAGTTGCATCATGCATGTTAGACCAAAAATTGTGCCCAAAATTTTTTTATATTCTGATGTTATTTTAGGGCCCAATACCCTTCCATAGACAAAACTTGTGAATTTTGTCGTGCAAAATGCACGACAACCTTTTCACTATTTACGGCCGTGTTACATAGTAAAATCAAAGAAATACGTAAAGCCGTCGCTTTATTAACATCTTACCCACATTACAAAACACTTGTCATGCAGTATTCTTCTCTGTAATCACGTTTATTTTATTAAAACATTACGACATAAAAATCACGCAAACTTCGCTACAAACAAAACTGCCAATCTTGCATTGAACCGCACCGGACAGCGATGATTTCATTGGCCGGTGAGAAATGTCATTGTGCGGTTCAATGCAAGATTGCCTGATTGGCAGTTTTGTTTGTAGCGAAGTTTGCGAGATTTTTATGTCGTGATGTTTTAATAAAATAAGCGTGATTAAAGAGGAGAATACTGCATGACAAGTGTTTTGACATTCGTCAGCTTTAGCTTCACTCGCCCGATATTATTTTCACTCGACTTTGGCGAGCGGGCGAGTGCCAAGCTCGCACGCTGACACTGACGCTGATAGGGTCTATGTCCCCCAGGGTACTATCGGAGGGTACCCTGGGTACGGTTCGAT